AGAGTTTTGCATCTTTGACAAAATTAGCATCCATCTGCACATAATAGGTTCCACCATACTCATTAAATGTGCTGCTAATAATCTTTACACTGACGGTCTTACCATCGGGTGTAAGTTTAATAATATCATTATCATTAATTGCCCCCTGAATTTTTTGTCTATAATACTTATCAGAAACTTTGTAAATGTAGATATAACCGGTTGATAAAATAACAGGGTTACGAAAAGTAATTTTTAAGGAATTTGTTAATCCATTGACATAAGCTTTTTTTTGTGGAGTAATATCGTCTATCTGACGATTACCGTAACCTTTATCTAAAACGTTATAATTAATAAAGGTGTAATTAAAAACAATTTTTGTGTAACAATAAAATGCTGAATACAATTTACGTACCTGTTTGAAATTGAGGTAGCGGAATAGTGAGCACAGACCAAGAATTATTTTTCTCATTTGAATAATTTGAAGCGAGTAGAAATGTATTATCCTTCTTCATAAAAGCCGTTGCGGCATTAAGGCTGTTTTGATTAACATTATTACTAATAACATTAGCGGCAAAGGGAGTTGTAGGAAAAGGTTCTGAAGGCAAATTGCTTCGAGCGTCACTCTCATTATAAATATAAATATAATAATAAGTATTAAGAGAAATTTTAGCTGTATTATATAATATATAACCACCGAATGGCATGGCTTGCATTCCCCATACGTTAGGGTAATTAGCTAAATTAGGGACTTGGGGTATGAAACTGATATTAACCACTGATCCGGATGATAGGAAATTAACTTTTATGTAAGTTAATGGCGTGCTATTATTTATGGAGGCTTCAATTAAGCACATATAACCAATACCAGTGGGTGCTAAGTCACAATAAAGCCCCAAAAAAGTTACGTTTGGACGAGTCATTTGATATAAAAGAACTGAAGCAGCTTGGATTGACTGATTGTAGGGTATAAAGGTCGCATACAGCCCACCAAATGTTGTTAATGACGAAGTGTTGTTGCTAGTTATCATTGAAGTGTTGAGATTCAATATAGCATATTTACCATCAACAGTAGATATTATTGTGCTTTGGTAAGAGCTGGTGCCATTTTGGGTACTTTGGGTAATTGAAATGTTGGCACTTTTCAGCATTGATAACTTTCCATTATTACTACTGTAAAACATAATAATAAATAAATATTATTATTAATTCAAATAATAATAGCAATAATAACAATTATTAATGTTAGGAAGGTTAGGTTACATTGAATATTGTTGCCATTCAGACCAATCCGAAACTCCGTTCCTTGTATTAAATCTAAGAAATCCCAATTTTTTGTTTACGTTTAGCTGAATCACACTTTGTGGACTCCAAATGCCGTTAGGATTACCGGTATAATTAACATAAGACGGGCCAAAAAATATTTGGCTAGTACCGGTAATTTACGAAATAATAAATAATACGATACAGGTGTCAATAATATTTATAGGTAATTAAAAATATAAGCACATTGTTACCTTTGTATATTGCCATCAAAATCAATGACCGCTCCCCACTCATTAAAAGTTTTAGGATCAGATGAATTTGTAGCATTAATATAACTTATTAGAATAAACTGATTATATAAAGAATATATTGTAATAGGACTATGTGGATTTCCAAGTTTATCATTAAATATACAAAAATTCACAAAATCAATTTTTATACGGGGAGTAATTTCTTTAACTGTTCCATTTAGTTGAAAGACTCTTAAAAGTAATATCGGCTCTAAACTCGTTCCATTCATTCCTGATACTGCGCATTGTGTTTGATTATTTGTCAAATCAGTGAAACGTGCAATGTATGCGAGTGTTGTTCCGTCATCATAGGTTTGAATATTTATCACTTGAGGTGCATTATGAGGGTATGCGGTACCTGAAGTGCTTTCTATATAGGTAAAGTTTGAAATTTGTGATTTCGAT